TCAGCAGGACAAATACACTGAAAGGTTTAGTGGTACCAGTGGTGGGACCTGTCTCCTCTGCAGCTGTCCCAGGTGGTGACTGCTGCTGGTAACAGCTGTGTGCCCAGTGAGAAGATCCCTTCCTCCAAAATCAAGTTCAGCCCAATGCCAGAGTCTGGTCTTGTGTGCATAGAAATTGCTTATTTTTGTTCAGTAACATCTAGTGTAGAGGTTGACAGCATCAAGTACTTCAGTAATGAAGATAGTTTTGTTTAGCAATGTATCCTCTGTCTCATGCCTTTGTTGCCCCTTTAATATCTGAACTAGAGCAAACGTTTTCTGCATGAGCAGAGCTCTTTAGATGGCATCCCTGGAAGCAGAGCTGCTGAAGCTGGCGTGGCCACACATGTTCTGCATGGGACACATTGTTCTTGGAGCTACTCTGGGCCACAACTGGCAGCTGGACAAAGTGGTGTGTTAGATCCTTGTAAAAAACTTCAAAATAGCCTGTTGAAGCACTCTGAACTACTGTGCTGTTTCTTCCTGGGTAAACTTGGAAAACCGTGGGTGGAGAATTACACAAAAGTCTGTTCTTGCAAGTAAAACCTTTGTATTTTAACTCCTTAAATGCTGCATGGAGACCAGCCACTCCATGCTCATCTTCCCTGATCTCAAATTAGCCCCCCAAAGTTTTAACTCATGCATCTCTAGTCTACTACTTCCCTCAGTGACCTAAAGAAATGTGCGTCCTCTGCAAATTATATACAAAAATTGTTTTTAAATTTCCTGATACAGGAAAAGGTTCTCAAGAGTATAATTTAAAACTTCCCTAGTAAAAATTACACTGAACAAGTATGCCTAATTGACAGGTCAGGAAAAGATCTTTGGTGTCACTTAGATCTCCAAGCAGTCTTTGAGAGATAGTGATTCGAAGATGGTTTTTGCTGGAGACAACTGGACAGGCTCATCTGTGTTATTTCTTGTCCTATTTTTTCCTCTGGAGTAATCTGGGCATCTCATAGCTGAACTACTGCTTCTTCAGTCACTGTTTCCTCAGTAGCCAGATGTGTATGGCTATCAAAATAATTGGGGATGATAACTTGTACTAAAGAAATACAGCTCTTCTACGACTGGCCATTCAATAATGTCTCAAACCCCTTACCACAGCACAATTTACTTAATTCACAGATCCAGGCTTGCACTTGCAATGTAGACAGACAAAAGAGAGAAAGAAAAACTTGGCTATTACTAGCCAGATGTAGTACTTCTTAAATATTAAAAAGGGAAATGTTGAATGGGATTTGTCTCATGCTGCTCTCTCCTGCATAAAGTTTGTGTTGGCTTCACCTCTGCAGGCTCAAGGCAAGAGTGGCCAGAATGGCTGGCAAATTCAGTGTAAAAGCTCTCCAAAACTGCTCTAAGAGCTTTGGAGTTTTTTTAAAGACAACACTTGTTTAGGTGTCTACAGAGAGAGTGAGTAACTTAAGAATATTAAATATAAGTGATTGAGCACTGGAAAACAATTTTTGGGCTCTGGGAGCTGCAATTCCAGGAAGAGAGGAGGCCAACTTCATTAGGCTCGGAACTACTTTGGGTTGCTGTGGGTTTTTTTTCATTCTTTTAATCTGTACCATGTTCGGGTTTGCTTGATAAAGGGTTCTGGAATTGCAGAACATAATGTTGGAAGCAATCTTGGTGTGGTACAGCCAGACACTGAGCCATCAAAGGCCAAAATCTCAGCATTTGTTCCTATTCACAAGTTCAGCCTTAAAAGAGAAAAGTGATGTTGTTTGGGATGCTGTGTGTAACTTGTGTTTGTTATACTTGGTAGCTGAGAACAGTGTTCTTCCAACCAACAGCAAATGCTGAATGTATTAGAAAAGAGGGGAAAGAAATGTATAAATGCTCAATTGTTCTGAATATGTAGGCTGGAGAAGTATGGTTGGAATTAGGGTTGTGACTCTCAGAGCAACACAATGCAAGTCACAAATGTTACTTTTGCATTCCACTGGAAATTAAGCAAGCTAGAACCAAGGAAACTCTGCCCCCCCACACACACCTTTTTTGTTTTAGGAGATAGATGACTGCAACCAAAAAGACCTACGGCAGGACTCAGCAGGTGTCACTGGTCCCATTGCTGAGCAACCTGAAAAGGCAGAGGTAAAACCAGACAACCCCCAGCCAGCTGCTGCTGCAGACAACTCCATCATGAGTTTCCTGAAAACACTGGTAAGTTGTTTGCCTTTCTCTTTCATCTCTAGGCTGTTCTTAAAATTGCTTATAAAAATCCCATGTGAACATGTTGAACTAAACGCAATGTGTTTGCACTGAGAAGTAATGAAGCCAAACAGATGCCTGGACTGGAGAGTGACAGAGGTATAGGTTCAGTGCACTCCTGATTAAATGATCATCTATCCTGGAAACTTCACCTTCTGCACAGATACTTGTAGACCTGGAGGTATTTAGCTGTATTAGTGTTTCTGCATGATGAAACATCATTTTGTAATATCTCTAGAAGTTATTTTTTTATAGGTTAATGATGCATAAGCTTGAATAATGTATCTTCAGATATTTTTCATTTTAGCCATTGACTTTAAGTTCTCAAGAATAATTTCTAATATGAATTTTCCCATATGGGGAGCAGGGGGGAAACAGTGTCTATACTACTTTCATCTTTGTGCTGGAAAATAATTCTAGTATCAAACATATTATCTTTCAGATCTTTTGAAAGACTGAGTTGGGTGTGACATTGTTTTTTTTCTCAAATATATTTAAGGTCTCCCCAAATAAAGCTGAAGCCAAAAGTGATTCTGAAGACAAGGTAGGTAGATTACTCATTTTTATGCTGGTCAATACATGGTTTTGGTACAGGTATTTCTCTTAATGCTCTTGCTTTTTCCCCATTGATATTATTCAAAGTAACTAAAAATATTTTTCCCTGCATAAATTTGGTAAGGCAGATGAACATATACAGTGCAATTCTTCATGTAATATGTTATAATCCAGATTTGAGCATGCAGCATTCTCTGTAAGGTTGATGATGACTTGGTAGAGATTTTGGTTGTTACTCTGACTTGTTCTTGATCAAAACCTATAGGTCCCTCCAGTTATATCCTTATGAGTCCACGGAAAACTCAATTTACTGATAGAGCTGTGCAGAGCTTCTAGTTTTTCACTGCCAGTTGTGCATATGCATGTCTCTATTGCTCTTCACACCTGCTGGAGCTGCCTGGTTACTGGAGAATTGAAAATGTCAGATTGTTCTAATGTGTTTGCCAAACTTTAAGAAAAAAAAACAAAAATCTAAATGGTAAAAACTTGAAATGGAAAACAATCTTTTAAAATGGAAAAACGTAGGTGTTCAAAGACTAATTTCCTCTCCTTCCTTTTAAGGTAGTACCAAAACTTACAATAGTTTCAACAGGACTAAACTTGGATGATTTGTATTAAGCTTCCTTATGTCTTCTGGTGTTTCAGTGGCCTGCAGGCACATCACTGCCTGAACAGCTGGGAACTTCCAGATTAAATGTCTTTACACATTGTTATGACTAGAATAACTAAAGCTTTCCTTGCAATGCCTGTGATAAAATTTCAACAATGCATGAAGGACAAAACCCTAAAAAAGGAAATGGTCTTTCAATTCAACTATTAAGAAACCAAAATCACTATTGACTTAATTTGTTTTCATCTAATTTTTTAATCTCTTTTGTCCAATTTTTATATAACCTGGTAATAAAAAGGTGAGGTTATTCTTTCTGGAAAGCTTGGTGAATACAAGGGGGACACACATCACTCCCTGATTATAGCACAACAATTCTGGAGTTCCTTAACCAGGGCTGAGGTCTTCTGGGACACCCAGAAAAGGCAGTTTCTGTGAGACTTGTAACTCTTTCAACAACTTCTGAAAAATCCAGTTGTTCAGTCCTGTTTGCATACCTGGCTTTATGGAAGGCACCCACGTGCTCCTGTAGCAGGTGACTGTTGGTGTAGGTGTACTGTAATGGGGGAACAAATATGCTGTTTGGGTTTGGTTTGCTATCACACCTGTGAGGGTAAACAAACCCAGATGACTAGCAGGATATGCAAACCCATTATATGGAGGTTAAATGGGAGTTGCTCTTTGTGAAGAATTTCTTTATCTTCACTAGCGTTTTGCTGATAAAAAGGACATTTTTGCTGTATTAAAAGAAAAAATACATTAAAGTTAAGGTGGCAACTGCCATAAAGAAAAGCTGCAGATTTTACAGCTGAAAGTAAATAATGGTCATTTTTTCACTGAGAAATAACTTCTGTCTTAATGGCAAAGATGTGTTCTTAAGTAAGGCTTTCCCTTTGTGCAGTCTCTCCTGAGTGTCTGGGGGGCTTTGCATGGTTTGGCTGGCACAGGGACTTGTGTTTGTGACTCCTGGTGACACTTCCCTTCTGGCTGCTCAGCTCCCCCCACCCCATTTGCAGGGCAGAGCCAGGTGTTATCATACAAAGACTAGTCCATTCCCAGGGTCTCTCAGCAAGGCTCTCCCATGGCTGAGAGGACAGACATGCTTTCTCACAAACCTGAGGAACAGCTACAGCCCACTTGAGCTGCTCCCTCCTGCTGCAAGGTCAAGGTGTGTGGCCTCACTGGAGCTGACTGGTGGTTTTGTTGCATTGTCCTGTCACCAGTGATGCCTCTGGCTTTAATAAGCTAAAGATGTGTGTGCTTTTAGCAGCCTGGGCACACCCACAATGGTGGTTGCTGCAGCCATCTAAACAGAAGAGTTTAACCTGAGTTGAGTCATAACTCCTTAGGTTACTTGATCTTTCATAAGTTTATACTAACCAACAGGGCATTCACATCTGATCTACTCTGGACCCCTCTATTTGACCCTTCTGTAGCACATCCCGAGTTGTTCCTGCATCACTGTATGTTTGGGAATACTAGGAATGGTACAGAGAACACGCTGAGAAAATGGCCAACTTTTATGCAACTGGCCACAGCCTCTTCACAGCACAAAGTACTTTGTTGGGAGAGTGTAACTGCTCTGAGTGAAACAGTCTTGAGACCAAGATCTTGACTTAATATGCTCTATATGACACATGCTATTCTCTGGACCTTTCCTCCTCTTCTATTAATTGTGGTCAACTTCATATGTTAACTACTGTAGGTTAATTGTTTCTTTGGAGTTTGGGTCTCTTGACAGTTCTTTGAAATTGTAGTCAACTCATTGAAGCTTTTTACTAGATCAGAAGCTTTTCGTTTTGCCTTTTCAAGTGTAAAAAAAAAAACCAACAGACCAAAGGTTGTAAAGGGACAAACTAATTACCCAGTGGGTGAACCTTTAAGTCATTTTTCATTGAAATATAACCTCTAAAATTTGGGCTTTTTCCACTATGTATTGGCATGATTATTAATTAAATCAGGAACTAAATTGCCTAAGGGAGATCAGAATTAAGTCCAGCATACTAGCAAGCAGAAAGTGAAAGAACATGAACATTATTGCCAATTTGAAATATTTTATGTAGTATATATCATAAATATTCATTCTGTCTTTTTTCTAAATAATGCAATTGTGCAAAACATTTTAAAATCCCTATAATACTGCAATTAAAAGGATTAAGGTTTTTTATATCTGCCTATTTTAAACTTATAAATCCCAAATGTAGTTGGTTACTTGTTAACTTCAACACAAAAGTCTCAGTCTTTGTGGGATTTAGGTCTCAAAGTAATGAAGAATTTTGGGGAAAATCGTGGTTTAATTTAATTTGACTGGATTGCCTCAGCTTATATTTATTTCATTACTCCAAAAAAGTCTAAGGAAAGCTGAGTAATTAGAATAAAATGTCATTTTTTTTGTCCAGGGCAAAAAAGGAAATGTTTGTTTTTAATAGTACATGTAAAAGTGTTTGGTTCATGTGTCATGAACCAAACAAGAACTTTGCACTAAGTACTCACCTGCAAATGCTGTTGTACAAAAGGGCTCGAAAGCAGACAGAGGCCATGGTGGGCACCCTGCTCCGAAGCTGCTGGCAGAACCCCAGGCTAAAGGAGCCAAGAAAAAGAAGGCAGAGAGTCCCAAGCTAGGACACAGCACATTTAGCAAACTCTTTAGGCATAAGGTCTGTATGAAACTCTAGCGAGAGCAGAACCCTGAGCAGTAGCAGATGGCTCCTGTCAGAGAGCAAAGTTATTTAATTGGTAACTGAAATCAGCATCTGGCCAGCTGTGCAGTGCTCTGAAAACGACTGGCATGAGCATTTGTGCCATGCATGATGAGAATCTTCATCTGCAACGTTTCTCTCATGATGCCATCTGTGAATTCAGGATTCTGAAACAATTCCTCTAACCTTCCCCACTATGTGCTTCCCAGCTACATTTACTAATGCTGACTAAACTTCCTTGGGCACTTAAAATAAAAATAAAGTAAAAGGTACTGACAAACAATGAATTAGGCAGATGTGAACAGTGCCTGCAATTGTAGGACAGGTTTAAGAGCTCAGTCCAGCTACACTTGAGGCTTTGTGGTCACAGTGCCTTAACTTGCACCATCAGGTGGCTAAAACTGGTGATTTGGTGAACTGGGCCATCTGATATGGCAGAGAAGAGGCTGGAACATGGAGTTTCCTTCAGAAATGGCTACTTTTCATTGAAATCAAGAAAAGTATTAAATGAATTCTAAGTATTGTTTGTATGGAAAAAAACTTGGGTTTTGAGGATACTTTAAAGTTGTTAAAAATGCATGGTTTTTTGTGCAAATGGTGGTTTCAGAGTACTTTTTAAAAAACCAAAACTTTTCATGAGCTTAGGTCTCAAAGTCCATTTTTCAGCTTTTGTGCATTCTCTGAAGAAGATAATCTGCCATGATGTTCTGTGGCAAGGAAGCAAAGAATTGTAGCTTTTTAGCCTAAAGAATGAAGAAGCAAGACACCCTTCCACTGGGGGGGAGGAAAGTAATATTTAAGGTTCACTCAAAACAACCACATGGAATGTCTGGTGAGTAGAGGGCTTTGTAATCAAGGCCACAAGGCCGCGGGACTTCTTCGATATACTTTCAAAACAGAAATGTTACTTCCACTGTCTCATTTTTGAGATAAAAATTTCATCTGCATATTTCTGAAGGAATAAGAATCTTCCCAATGGTTTTAAGTGTACAGTTCTTGCCAACAGCTTAAAGATCTCATATATACTACATTGATATCTAATAATTTTGATAGGAAGTACAATTAAAATATGAGTTGGGGCTTCCCAGTAACAAACATACCTGGCTAGCATTTTTTAAGGCTTTTTAACTCTTCTGTGATAGTTAAAATCTCATAATGAGTTGTTGGGAGAGATTATCTGTTTTTATTAGGCTATTTGATACAATTTTAAAGACTATTGGTATGCAATGAAAGTAGTTATCTTGAAGGAATGCAACAGCACTCCATTTTTACACCAACAAAATATCATTAAATGCAGATACTTTTAAAATAAGCTTAAAAACAAGAAAAAAATATTTCCACAGCTTGCTTTTTGCATAGGAAACAGGTGCAACAAGTGGGGTATAATTTGTGACATTGAGAATAAAGGAGATATATTAAATTAGTGGCAACAATTTGCTTGTAAGGCTGATAAAAAGTGGAAATTCAAGTAAAGTGATGTGACAGACAAGCTCTGAAGTTACCACCGCTAGTAAAAAAAAAATAGCTCTGATATCTTCATTTGAAATGCCTTAGTGTGATGTGACAATTAGATGAATAGGAAATTAATTCCTTTATTTGAAATTATAATTTTAACATGTAGTAATATCTAACTTTAAGAACTTCACCCTTTCTGAAAATTGTCTCTACTAGTATTCCAAATTGTACTTCTCAGTATCTTAGTTATGCAAAAATATACTATTAGTTTAACAAACATTGGGTTTGGTGCCCTGTGTTTACATAAATACTAAATTTAAAGCAACTTGTTACTGTTCTTTTCAAACAGCAAAGGGTATCCTAATATGAATTTGTAACAAGCTGATGTGATGGGACTTGGCATTTGACCTCAATGCTAAATCTGGGTGGCATCTGACCAGCTGGGTCCCTGTCAGTCATTTTATTCCCATTCATGGTTAATTGCTTTGCATTGCATGCCAGTTTTACACTACAACTGCACTTACTTGTGATATTTTTCTTGGAAAGGTTAATCACTTATTTCCAGCACTAGCATCAAAGCCAGCTCATGGCATTACACTACTTTTTACTACTTGCTCTGGATCTTGTTCATTAGAGCTAACCACAAACAAAGTTCTTGGCTCCTGCAAAATACCTTTCACCCATCCTGTCAAGAAACCTTTGAAGTGTGTGGCAGGCTGGGCTTCTGTTTGAGTTTGTGGCTTGCTGCTCCTCTTATGATGCATCTCAGATACTCATCTGCAGCATAAGCTATGCTGGGTGTTTGGATCAATAGATACTTAAATATTTCACTGGCTGGGAAGTAGTTTAACATGTTGGATCCCTCCTGGCTTTGTGTGTTTTGATGAAACCAGATGATCCCTCACTGGCAATGATTTTAAAAAGAATAAATCCCACCTAATGCACAAAAGTGAGTGGATGGACTAAAGCAACCTCTAGCACCTGCAGAGCTTTTTTGTGGAGCTGCAACTCCTTTTTCTAAGCTATAAAGCCACGGTTGATCTGTGCCTCCTGCTTTGAAGGTGATGGTAGCACATCCCTGCCTGGCATCCAGTTCCTTCAGTGGGAAAGACCCAGCTCTGGTTTGTACGTGTGCACTGAAAGTTGTGCACACAGACCCAGAGCAGAAGAAAAAATCTCTAATATCTTAAAACTATGTAATATCTTACCTGAAGAAACTGGGAATGCATATGTAAATACACATTTTAAGAATGAGAAGAGGACTTCAAGCACAGCAGCAATTGACAAAGGCTGCAATGATGCCACAGGTAGAAGGATGGGAGCTGGCAGCCTCTGCAGGCAGCCGGAGAGCAGTTTCCATGGTTGCAGGAGCCAGGACTTTCACAAACATTCACTAAAAATAATTTGTGACACAGACAATTCCTGAACTGTGTAACTGTGAGCACTGACATTGCCAGAGACAGACTTGTCTTTGTGTTTTGTTTCCCTTCAGGCTGCAAAAGAGACCCAACAGACAACTAATACCAAAGTGAGTAGGATGATCCAAGTTATCTGTATGAATAATGCAATCAAAGGGTAATTATTCTCCCTGTCATTTTCAGTGTCAAAGACACTGTGTTAATTTCTTTATCAGTTAATCATCTCTGTTATGAAGGGTGGGTTGCTTTGTAATTTGCTTCCGCTGTTCAAGACATTATTTCATTTGCAAGGACAGGGCTGCAGCTCATGAGCTGCACCTTGTTGCTTGGTGTGTCCTGTGCAGCAGTGGCCCACAGCACACTTACCTTTTGTACCCAGTGATGCCTGAACTTTCTGAGTATCTTGTGCTTCACATGTTTCTAATAGCCTCTGTTTGTGTTTCTAGAGCCCTGAGCAGCAGCCTGTTACCTCTGTAAAATCAGACAAAAATGTCTCTTCCCCTCAAGAGCCACAGACAACTAAACAGAACACAAAAGCCCCTGAGCCTGCAGCCCAACAGCAGGCAGTGGCCACTGAATCCAATAAAGAGGTGATGAAGGAGAGAGCATCATCAGCTCCTATGCCACTGAGCAAGCTCTTCTGGAAAAAGGTATGTCTGGATTTTGGAGCTGGTCTATCCCACACCTTCATCTTCACACGGGTTCTGGTTATACTAAAGCAGCTGGATCTGCCCATTGAGCATGTCCTGTGTGCTGAATGCATGAGGGACACAAATGATGGATGCAGTTGTTAAATGTACACATCAGCTTTGGGCAGTCACATATAACAATGGCAGTTTGATTCCTGCAGGAGAATCTTACAATATTGTAGTCTTTTGAATCACTGTGTACTAGTTCAGAATGGGAGAAGGTATATTACTCTGTCAACTCAACACAACTGTTAAAAATTCTACAGAGATTATAGTGTTCTTTATCAAATCACATAATGAAGAGACTTGGCTATAAAAACACATTTTTGAGAACTGTTTGAAAACCTGGAATCTGGTGGGTCTATTCTTGCTCAATAGAATAAGTTTCATACCAGAGTGGATCAGTCTTTGGGGACTGAGACTGATTTCTTGGGAAGATGATTTTTTTTCCTTGTGTTAAATACTGATTTTAACTAAAGTTAGGACTAACTTGGAAAACATGGTTCCTGTTTCCATGATTCTTAATGGTTTATAAACTGAAGGTTTATTCTTTTCTCATTTAAGAGCTGTATTAAACTCTACTGAATCACTGTATGTTGAATAACTGCTTTCCTGGGCTTCTGTTCAAGCTCAAATCCCAGAAATGAGCTGCTTCCAAACTCACAGGTGCTGACTGAGCACCTAAGCCTGTAGCTTCTTCAACTGTTTACCCTAATGAGCAGTGATACTAGAGATACATTTTGGGTATTTTCCTTTAAAACAACACTAATGCTTAAGATGCTTAGGTATTTTCAAAGTAAATATGCTTGAAAACAATCTAAGCTTGAAATATTTGTTACTTGGGACTTAATTTCCCGTGAAACTGGTGAATCAGATACTTAGAATGAGAGGAAAGTTGTGAGAAGGGGAAGAGGCAGGTTTTTATGTAGTTGTCATTGCTATGGCAACCTCCTCCTCTGTCTGAGTAGTCTGGCTTATTTGAAAACAGAGATGGGAAGTAGGATGTATGCTGAACATCAGGACAAAATGGGGGGGGAGAAAGAGGCCTTCAGGGAAACAGCTATATATATATATAACAGCAGTTTCAGTGTAAAACTGTTATAATTTTGGGCTGAAGTTCACTCTTCTTGTAATGAAGTAACAAGGCCTTTTGTGTTTGTGGGGTGGAAACATGTAAGAATGTAACACTTGGTGAAAAATAGTTTAAATCATTCTTGTGGAGGAACAATTGGTGGGGTTTTAATCTTTAAAAATAACATTTTGAAATATTACCAAAACCTTATGTAGTTAGATATTTTACTGCTTCATATAATGTGGATTCTGCCCAGAGTGAACACCAGCTCCTCATATCTCACAGCTAAATTAAACCAGGTCTAGGCACCTAGTTTGTGGCTTTCCAACCATACAATCTTCACTGAAGTCCTGGGATCTGAAACATCTATGGGATATAAACCTTGTACCAAACTTCTTTCATTTCTGTTTGTGCATTATGTTGGGTTTAACTTATCCTTCATCATCATTAAAATAAAGTTGCTTAGAGCAGTGAATGCAAAGTGTAGGGA